TCTCATCTTGCTGATGTGATTTGGTAACTTGAATAGAAGTGAGTGTCTGCTTAATCAAAGCATGATTGAATGACTTAAAGAAACTAACTATTGTTACTTAAGCAAATATGGATAGTAGCTAGCAGTGGTATCCAGGATGTGCATTTCGTCCTATTTGGAACTCATCAGTTGGATGTACCTGCATCGCAGAGTTGATGTTCACTCCGGAAGATACAAGTAAAACAACACTAAGTGTATTGTAACTTAAGCTACATTTCACTTATTCTTGGTTCAAAAACTTTTGTTTAGTATCTTTTCATTACTTGATCAACTGATTTAAAAAAGAATCAATGCGACTCATGAAACATTAATTTAACCGTCTCAAGTAAAAAGTGGTTTTCACTTGACTTCTCAATCATTAATCAAAAATAATTTTCAGCTGTGAAATATATGGAAACGAAACACATCAAACAATCTGATTGTTACTGGGTATTTTCCTCTGTTCATTACACAGAATCGATTTTGTTCTCTGAACTGGATGGTTTGGTCGTGGAGCTCTCATCATTTTTCTGAACGACATCATCAACTTTTATCTGACGTTTGTGCTGATGATTTCGTTCAGAAGATCGATGAAAGCTCCACGACCAGACTATCCGGCTCCAAGTACAAAACTCCATCAAAATCATCCATCTGAGCTACAAATCTTCTCCACTATCTCAAAAGCTAGGAACACGTTTTCTTAGTACGATTGTAAACTACCGATTTCGTGGATTAATCAGTGTACATACTTTATATAGGAAAAGTTCCAATCAATCAAGATTAATGTAAAGAGATTAATAGTATTGAAAAAAAATACGAGAGATATTCATTTCAATGATTAAGATCATGAGCCAGTTGAAGCTAAACCATCATGGAAAACTTGGAAGTACTGGACGACCGTTTCGTCCTACTGTGGTACTCCTCAGCAGTGCGCCTCCACGCATTCATTTGTTAAATAAAGTGAGTACTTATTAGATTGAGTATACGAATATTGTGAAATAAAAACTATAAGCATAGAAACAGAGTCATTTGGAAATGAAATATAAATATGTGCCTTAGAAGATAAAATAAAATTGACTGACTACAAATCAGATAAGAAGTGAGAATCAATAATTAGTGTCATAGAGATAAAACAATTGCATATCAAACATTTATGAACAAGGTCACCATGGTAAGACATGATTGATAACTGTTATAACGGTTAGTTTTACTTTGTCTACACGCATGGGACGTTAATTTACCTTAGACGAATATCTATACTAGATTCCCTCCCAGTGTCCATTCTACAGGACTTCAACACAGCTCAGATCAAGAACACGTGATTAGCCTGACTAGAATGTAAATATATCTCCATACCGAAACCCGACACAATCTAACAACAATGAACAATAAATGATAATAATCATATGGATAGGGAAAATATAACTCATCTAACATCTGACAGATTATCTACATGTTTGACTAAGCAGACAATCATTATCATTCTCGCCCATACATCAATAACTGAATGCTTTAGATTGTGTAAATGCTTTTTAGATCTTTTTGTAATACTTCAGCAAAATGTAGTAAGTTTGATGTTCTTGGTTGATTAATTATTTTGAAAGACTAATTTGTTCACATCATGACCACATTCAGTAGTAGTACCTCTGAAAACGTCCTGTCCTTTTAGTCTAAGCTTCTATGAAATGTTGCTCATATATGCAAACACTAATTCTTCTTTCTGTTCGTCCAATGTATATGCTTTGGCACGTACATGCAAATTATTTCATACAATTAGAGATAGTATTAGTCGGGAATTTACGACCATCCCAATGAGCGATTCATTTGATAGTGAGATCATCCTGGCATCTGGATGCATCATTCTTATTATGACCCTCAATCCGAAATCAATTTTTTCAATTAAAATCATCACCATCGGATTAACATTTTAAGAAGACAGGGTTCTTCCCAACCATAGAATACTACTACTATTTCCTTCACTTTCGTCCTTCCATACTTCGTCAAGAACGTTTAAAAATAACCATTACTACGAAATCAATGTTCAACTTTAGTTCATTTCAGTTTCTTTTCATAAATAAACTAATTAATTACTTCTATACTATACAATTATGTATACCTATTCATTAAATGAGTTCAAGGTCAATTCAAGGTCAATTCAGTTAAACAACTAACCAATCATAATTCAATTGATCTGACGTCTCATCAAATATATAATTGATTTTCTTATTAAACCTTTAATTTCTCTAACAGAAAAACAGACTTCATTAGTTAGTTATTATATTGAATGATTGAATGGTGTATCATAGTGCCAACTGAATAATTGGAAAGTTGGATAATCAGGTTTTCAACTCACTGGTCTAAATTTGTCATGTTTAATTCGAGACCTGAAAAATCCCTTAGTTCATTCATATATGAGCCTTTTGAACAGTTAGCTTCGAATTAGGATATAACTACTAATCCGAGCTTTTTATTTTTCAGTGGCCTTATATCTGATGAATAAATATCATGAAAATTGAACAAATCTTTGAAAAGCACCCAAACGAAAATCATATAGCTGAAAGATGATCTGTACTAAGTTACAAAGTCTGTGAATGATATAACAAAGCAAAGCGATATGACAACAGGAACTGATCTGGACTGATAACACATGAATCAATAACAAAATCCGTCGTTAGTGTGAGGTTGTGAAGACTGTTGAGTTTGAATGGGAAGATGAACCGATCCAAGTTAGGAAAACATTGAAAACCCTGAGGCATTGGACAGTCGTCTCATTCCAGTATGGAACGTCACCGCAGAACACACCACACGAGCTCAGGACCTTCGTTCCTGAGCATGGGCACAAATTCCGAACTACCTAGCCAGGACAGTCTAGCTTTAACCAATCCGTAACACCAACTCTCATTGTTTTCGGTTCCTGGCTGAGAGCTTGTGGATGATGCTCACTTCTAAGGAGTTCCGTAATAAAATGAGACGACCATCGATTGCTTGCGTGTTTTCAATAATTGTCCATCTTAGATCGGTCCTCAATTTCAATGAAATCCCATTACCCGCGACACATGATGCCTTACTTGCAACGAAGCCAATAGATAGTTGTTCTAGTTCGAGACTCAGCATCATAAAATAACCGGTCGAGTCCACTGTCGACATAGGAAAGCCGTCCCTTCTATTTGTTCGCAATTAGTTACTTCCCGAAGCACTAAACAAATAGACTAGTGAATTCACTCTACAAATTAAAGTCCTGACATGATTTGCTGTCCCTAGCCTTTGATGTGCAAGACTAGGATGAAGTCATACCCCCCCACCGGTTAGCGGAAACACTACTTAGAACCAAATCATTCAATACTGCATTGTCGTTATTCTGTTTGTTTCCCTGTAGTGAATTGTTAATTTCGAAATTTGTCCCTAACTGTCTACTCGATGATCAATTTGGTTTAGCATTTACCTATCATCTCATTTTAATTCAATAAATAATCTAAATGACGAGCAGGTTTTTGATCTTACACACATAAATTACGTCTAACAATAAATATCACTACCACTACACACTCAGTATGAAAACGTAAACAGTACCACCACCAATGAGCCCCCATCTACGTATTTAAAACGTCTGATTGACTGTAGGTTTATTTGCTTAAGCTATCATCTTAAAGTGTAACACAATCAGTTACTGTTAGATGGTTGGACATAGTTGGCAGGAAACCCTGTTAGAATCTTAGTAAGGTTTACCTGTAATTCTGAGGATCTAATATTCTCTTTGTGAGGTTAGAGAGCATATCACAAAACTTTATCACTCAACCATTCAAACCACCATCGACTACTCGTAAACTAAGTATATGATAAAGTTATGTTTGTCTAGCTTTTTCTAGTATAAATCGATGAGGTTGTAGTGTGGTCTTGAGTGCTGTTAGAGGTATGAGGGCGGTTATCACTTTCCGGTTGCCCACACCGTGGAAGGGTTCTACTGGAGGTACCTGAAAAGGAAATTGGATTAGAGGTGGTCTTAGTGACCTGAGAGCGTGACCGCAGTGCCCAAGGGACAACTGCTTGAGGTCGGTCACACACGACCTTTTTATGGGTAATTTTTGTGTTAGCTCCGCACTTGTTGAAACCTTACCGCCGGAGACGGATATCTGTGGGATAAGGCGAGGTGTTCATTTTTAGGGTCAACCCACCCCTCCTTGCGGGAAGGCAGCACCGCTGTCATGCTGGTTGTCTGAAGGAAACACCTTACTGCTGTCACACCTCTGTGTAGTCGGCAGTACGACTTCGCCTTCAGACCTTAGGTTTGTTGCTTTTATTCTTACCGCTCTTCAACCGACCTGTCTGACATGGTAGGACCCTGAGGAACGGTTGTTCCAGCCAGTATAGCTCGGTTGCTTCATCACGATAGGCAAGCCCGATCACCACGTCAAGGTAGCAACAACGATCGGGTAGTGTGGTCACACTGATTAAAGGAATTAGACACAGCGTGCACTATGCTGACATGTTAGATTCGAAGACACAGAACGACATTAATCAAAATGAAATCAAAAAAAGATCTTTAAAAATTCTCATGTGCATGTGTTCGTTTATTTTTTTGTTGCTAAAATATCCTATGGGAAAAAAATTTGAGCCAACGCAAGTACAAATGTGCAAAACTATTGACAAGAAAAATAAATTATTAACAATAAAAATAACTTTAGTTTTTATTATCTTTGTTTTTATTGTCTAAATAGTAGTATTAGTAGTAATTGGTAGTAGTATGTAAAAAATGGGGGAAAATAAATCCTTTACAAATTCAAAACAAAACTAACTAGAACAGAAGATCCCATAATTGAAAATATCAATGGATGGATAAATAGACAATTAAAATGAGCAATAGAAAAAATAATAATAAACGAACAAACAGAAAAGGAATGTTAGTGAATGATTATGATTTTGTATAAATAAAATATCATAAATCGTTTTAACAACCAATAACTGCTTGATGATATAAGCAGATTAGAAGGAAGTTTCCTGTGAAAAACTTGAATGAGAACGAGAAAAAAACAAAAGTGATCAATGTCAAAATTGTCTATAGAAAAATAAAAACGAGCATAAATGAAGTTCAATGTACAATCTTTTAATACGAATAGTTATGGTAACGATGACGTGCTATGTTTTATGGTGTAGGAGTAGGTTGGAAGAAAGCTAGGGGCGGTCAGACCAAAACATGGCACAAAACCATGAAGTCACTGACAAATGAACTGAGCCATGTTGGTAGGTGTAGACTACCTGGTTAGGGACCGCGAGATGATAGCAACCAATGGTTAGATACCCTGAATGAAATGGCTCAAAATCGTTTGCAATGGCGCAAGTGCATCCACTCTTTGTGCTCTCCCACATTCTAATCTTCTGGATTCTTCATGTTCCTTATTTTCTTCGCAAATTTATTTCACTGGATTATACTCCTTGAGTAACATCTTCAAACCCTGATCTTTCCGATTACTGCTTATACTCTTACTACCTCTACCACTACGGAATTGGAGTCGACAACTGCATCTCTGTGCTAATGTGATATGGCAACTCGAACTGATGTACATACGTACGAAGGTCTACGTTGTTACTGACTGACTGATAACATAGTACAAGTGAACCGATAACAAACCATGTAGCGATAAATCAAATTTATAGGATGAGCCTTAAACCAAGAAGTGTACGTTTTCTAGTACTCACCAAACGACTTCATCAACTGATGCTACAACTTTGTTTGATCACACCCCAGTTTTATCCAAACTTACTCTTAGACTATGTAGGACTGTATGCTGAGACAGGTGGCGGATAGATAGAAGTATAACATAGGTCTCAACTAGATTAATTGGTGAAAATCCAAAAGATTATCGGTCGGTTTACTATCGCTACATAACGGCCTATGTGTAACACAGAAAATGCTCACTCATTTGTTCTATTGTGCGTGAGAAATCCCGATATAGTATACCTCAAAAGGTTATACTTCACAACAACATAATAGTAATACAGAGTCAACTGCTGTGTAGTATTTTCATTGCACCAAATATGGGCTTAAATTGCAAAAACATCAAACAAACTTTACGTATCACTCCAAAATTAGAGTAGGTTACGGTAATTCAAGAAAGTTCATGAGGCTTAAAAGTTAGTCGGTTATAGGCACCGTAACACCTGGTATATATATAGATTGGTTTGAGTTGCCACATTAAATCGACACGACATGGAATTATCAAGAAAAATTTAAGAGTAATTAGTGGAAGTGGAAATAAGAACAACGATAACAATGTGGTGGTCCAACAATACCACCATCACTCACATATCATCAATATACAGAGTTTGTATGTATAAATATACACAATTCAATTGTATTTATACATATTGTTGCGTGAATCCACTGGACGTCGTTTAACTCGGGATAGATCAGGTGATAAATTACAATTCATTGACATGGAAAACACTTTGTAATTGATTACCTAAATTAACCAAATAGATAACAACAAGAAACAATGACTAAACATGCTGAATTTCTTTAATTATTGCTTTATTAATGTGATTTTGTTTAACTGCTATTTGTAGTTGAGGTTAGATCGACAAATTATTCAATGTTCAATAAGTGGTTCACAAGCCGTACATTGAATTTCAAGTTTCAATATTTACTATAATTGTGCTATTCATCAAGCAAGTAGGTTGTACTATACTGGACATTTTCGAAACAGATAGCTGCAAATAACTTTCGTTATTTGATACAAAATGTTTGATGAAAATTACACTCTGATATATTACAATAATTAACCACTAAACAAATGAAAAAATGACCAAAAACTACTAGGTACAATATACTTGATGAAAGCTTAAAAACACTGAGGATAACCTCAGACCATGTGGTTGGTATTGGAGTTGTCGTTCTTCAGTTTTTTTATATGATTATACTTTGATACCATTGATAGTATTTATATCAATACGATTAAAACTACTATTTAGACAATAGCCTTTATCTATTAAGGTACAGCCCGAAAATACCCTCGTACAGCCGAGAATGGAGAGAGTCCGCTCCCCCTCTCGAAATGCTTTCAAATGATCACGCGTATACAGCCAATGCCAGGAAAGTCCCACTTACTACCTTCTCATGACGCAGATGTTGTTTACGAAATTGATAGGACAAAAAGCGAATGTCCAGCGCTCTAGCCGGGTTGGTGAACATGGAGAGTTCATTAAAATTATTGAACCAGTATATGAAAAAAAGGTAAACATATAAAACAAAATAAGGTTACGTTTAAGACTAATGGATTAAAATTGAGTGTGAAATCCGTGCAAAATAGAAAGTCTCCATGAAAAGCCGACCAATACACTGAACAAGGTAGGTATGTTGTATAGTAGGATTGCAAATCGTGTTGTTCAAGTTGTATGAACACATTGAAAAAGAGGATTATTAGGTTTTCAAAAAATTCTTGTATAGTGTATTTTACTATTACATAATAAAAAACTAAATCTATCCTGACAAGCATAAGGTAGGAATGTTCAAGTCAAGTAGAACTCTAACATGAAAAACTAAATTGTCTTGAAAATAGTAAGATAATTCTCCCTATCTATTACCACGTATCCGGTTAGACACGTTAGAACCATTCATTATGGTACAGATGCATTGAATTTTTGTCTTCCTTTAGATCTTAACATTTCGAAATTCTTATACACATTTTTTATTTCATTGATTCATACTTTATTCTCGAGCCCTATATTCGATGCTTGATGTTTTTTTATTGCTACTAATACTGTTACTACTTCTGCTAGTCTGAGATTCGCTCTGACAATTTTATTTCTGCGTATTAATCAAATGTGAAAACTTGAACCTATGTACACATTTCCCATGTTCTACGTTGCGTATGGCTGAGCGACTTACGAATCAGAAGTATCGTAACACGAATCACCGATAACCAATAAGATATTCTACAGTTCCAAACTTTTAGACATAAACACATGAAAAATCTATAACTATTCGTAAGATCAGTAGAAATAAGAAATACTTTCGCATTCACCACGATTCTTTGTACCCATGTGGTCCCATCATAGGATTGAGCTGTGCAGTTCAGGTTGTAACTACCCTATATGATAACAAGTTCTCTTGCAAAGCCAAACACTTGACACACTAATTATCTTGCGGTTGATTATTAACGTGTTTGGGCAACTAACGGTTGATTTATTTATGTTCGTCACTAAAACAGCTAGTCAAATAATTACACCATTATTTATCTTAGTATCTTTCCAGGGATTTTTCGTCCAACTTCAAATTCATTTGATTACCATATAAATATTCCTGGATTTGTATAAAATAACCATGTAAGTAAACTTCTATTCGGATATCTGTTTTGTATGACTATTCCTCATTCACAAACAGGCACACACCCAGAAGTGTATAGCTTAAAGCTGAGCTCATAAGTATGTAAATAGATCACTCCAAAATTCTACTTATTAACTTCAGTCTGTGGACACCTGTGCACAGTCCTATGATGCCTGCTACTGAATGATAGTTGTTAATTGTTGAATATTCTCGAAGTAATTAGTAGTGTCTTAATGTAAAGTTAAAAAAATTATAATCGTAATAACAATCACATAAAATAATTTACATATCAATGAATCAATCTAGAAAACTGTGAACTCACCTCATCAAAAAATCGATTTAATAGAAGATCTTGTGGACTTCCGGGACTTATACTAGTGACTGAATTACAATTCTTTAAAATATAAAATTGAAAATAAGGGCTACAAGTTAATTGAACAGAATAGACAATAGAAAAGCAGAAGCTTTCTGATGAAAAACAGTACTTCAATAAAATACTATAAATATTTGGAAGCCTTATTTGCCACATGTATTTGGTGATACACTTTTCAACTGCACAAAGGAGCTAAAACAATATCTGATACTATCGAGTAAACTGGATTATTGAACTTATCTTGTATATAAATAGGTTAACGTCCAGCAGTTCATTACTAGCAATTCAGCTGCACATGTGCAACCAGTAGCTAACTAAAACCGATATCGTGAATGTCTAAGGTTCGTAGGTCCTGGTAAAGATGCAGTACTTTACGAATAAATAAGAAGAGGATAAAGTAGTTCAGGGGTCAGTCTTACTTTTATATCCTTTAGTTATTCTTGCGCATTTAGAATCGTTAGTTAAGTATTAGTCTTAGCACCATTTAACCAGGTCTTATAAAATATCAAGCCTAAGCCGTGTCCTTGTCTTGCGCTTGTTCAATATGGACTGGTGATATCACACATCACATTATATCACAAGCGAAAGGCTATGGCATACAGATCAATATTCTATACACAACAAGTAGGATAATTCACTTTATGTGGTAATTTCTAACACTTCTGAATGTTAGTTATGTCCATAACTAACCAACCAAATAGTTACTTAAAGGTCCACCACGTCGATCTGATCTGATGTGTCAGTAGATTATTCCTGTTGCATATAACCTGGCAATTGAAGGACATTGTTATCCTGTTATATTAGTGTGACTCATGATTTTAATTCATTTCGATGACACGCAATACTGATCGGTATGTTCATGCGTCCCACTTAATGACTATAATTCCTAATTATTGTACTAATCAAACTCTTACTTTTACGCTTAGAAACAGATAAAATTTAAAGTCAAGTTGTCCTTGTTCTGAATATAACTTTCACATAGACTCTCGGGTCGCCATTATCGCGCTTACAGTTCTAGTAGAAAATCTGTAGGACAAATGCAATCCTACACTGGTTTCTCATTGTCTCCCAACACACTAGTATGTTTGAAAAGTTTCTGATCTTGGCTGTCTCATAATAATGTAAGTTATGAGAACCAACCATGTGAAAATGTCGACACCAAACACAGAAAAAACCCGAATGGACAATTAGTGTGAGGATAGAACTTGAGATGAGAATAAAAAAATATTCAAACAAATATTTCTTATATTAGTTTTTTGCATTGGTACTTTTTTCCCTCTAGGTGTTTGAGTTCCCACGTCAATGTAGTGTAGCTGCTGTAGAATGTAAACTCTAACCCTTTAGTTCGTTCATCACTAACAATGTGAAGCGTGGTATAAATGTGCTCGGGTCAAGTTACTAACTACATGAGCACGAAGAGACAATATTAATTAATTAATCGAAATAACACACCAGTAATGTTAATAAGGAGTAAGCATTGATGACATTGTTTGAAACAACAGAGTGAAAAGATTTAAATGAAGGAATACTGAAATTGAAGATTGAGAGGAAGATTAAGATTGAATGCGACTGCACCACTACGAACAATTATGAATCATATCACGTAAAGTATTTAACCACGGATCACGGTTACCTCGCAGATCCGAATTAACTAGCCTGCTCTTATCAAGATGGCTCGGACTAACAGTCAATAACTTGTAGATTAGAATCTCACTCTTACCATTTTAGCGGCCGTGTACACGGTCGACCACACATACGCAAACTAAACTAAAAATTTTGTAACCCAATTTATACGACATTAGTTCATATATTTATAGGACAGATGTAGTGTCAATAGTCGTCATACACACAAAGAATTAAAGCCAAGTGTTTACAAGCATTACCTTGATTACTTGGTCACAAGTTATCACCTAAAAATGCTTTATCTAAAATAACCTAAGCATCTGAATTTTTAAGTCATACACTTCCTTAAATTCCAACACTCAGATGTTGGATATATATATATAAACTTACTAGTAGAATTTCTGAAAAACCATACTCTGTGGCGAAATTCCATGTCTTGTCTTTTGTTGGTGAAGTCAACAATGACGATGAAGATGATGAAAATCTTTGACTATCACTTAAATCAATATATACACTTTGTTGAGTTGATGATGATGACAACGATTGTGGCATTAAACTTGTTGGTTCGCGATCATCACCAACACTGCCACTTGCATAATTATTACGATATGTTAAGTTCCATGATGTTGACGATGACGATAATGACGTTGTTGTTGATGGTGTAGTATTTCCAAAAAACTGCACAGACGATATACATGATCTGGGCGTCATTGGAACACATGGATGATAATTACCAGCTGATGGTAATTCATTTTGGATATATGGTGACGTAGATAGATTAAAACGTGATGTGAATTTATTCACCGACCGTCGACTATGTGAACTGAGTAAATCGAATTTTGTACCAATAACAAGAATAGGTGGATAGACCGTGCTAGTTATATAGTTTATATTATGCTGATTATTGTTACTTGTTTGTGATTCCGATGACGATGTGAAAGATCGACTGACCAAAGTTTCTGTATTTAAGATAGGCAGAAGAGTGGTCATTTGATTTGTTATATTTGCTTTTAGATTACCATATTTTTCACTACTTACACCGCCACAATAACTACTACTAGTAGTAATAGGAGCAGTGATACCATCTGCAGCCGCTGTTACTCCTCCAATATCTGTCTCCGGTCTATATTAGAAGAAATCAGGTTCATACAACAGAAATTATAACTAGTAAAGGATATTACGAAATGAAGAATAGTATTAGTACTAACGAATGAATAAAAGAAGACTAAAACAAACTAGTTTGTCGAGAAAAATTTATATATACAGTTTTTAGTCATTATCCAATGGATTATATTAGGTTCACTTCATTTCATTATACAATTTTAGAGGTTAATAGTGACTAGGAATACAGGTTAGATAGTTCTCATCAGTTAAGGTACCTAACAAACACTTGGATGTTCACGTACTAGGTTGTTCATACCTAAAAATCTATGCATCTATTGTAAACCTTTATAATTCACGAATAGGTGAGTAAACAAGTTGTAAGGCTTACCTTTTTAAAACTGGTTTCCCCAATACATCAGATAACCATTTTCTTAAATTTAATTGTGATTTCTTATTTGTACAATCGTAGACTAATATTAGTCCGTGTAAATTTTGATAGAAGATTGAACGAGTATTCTCATGACTGTTTGATCCGCCAATGTCCCATAATTCAATAAAATATGGATGTTCTTTTTCAGGATCACTGTTATATACATGAATCTAATTTAACAAAAGCAGTGTAAGTGATAAAACAATTAACTGAAAATTCGACAACTTTTATATCCACACTACAACCAATTGTGTACGAAGGATGAAGGAGAGTTTGTTGATTGCATATTAAGTGTACCAAAGCTGTTTTACCAACACCTTTTTAGGAAAAAATTATTACAAATTGTATGTACTGGTTTAAAAAATGATTAATTAATCTACTTACCGGAATCGCCTCCTACGACAACTTTAGCTTTTTTAAACTCCATGAGAACAGATCTACGGATAAAATTTTAGAAATACGAGCTACAGCAGAATTTACCACGGTCAGTTCCACCGAGGGTTTTCATCTATGAGCATTGTGATATTTAAAGGTTTTGAAAGCTGATTCCTAGAATTCTTCGAGAATGAAACCAGTCTGTGCAGAAAAACGGAACGTTTCATTATTACTCATGAATACAATCTTAAATATGTTTATTACTCTTCATATAATCAGACAGGGTGAAGTAGAGTCAATGAAATACTAGTGACCCTTGTAGAAATATTCATCAACATAAACCGTTTGTACGTTGGAAGACAGATAGATGAGTGTTGAACTATTACTCAATCATCAAGTTCGAGGACGAATCCATAGAAATGAAGCACGCAGCACTCTGTCGTTTCTCTGCATTTTATCGCTCCTTTCTCTTAGCATTTAGATAAATCGTTTGTCGTAAGACCCTATTTATTCTGCACAGAAGATAGCAGTATTAAACAACCTAGATCGAAATTCAATAACCTAACTCTTTGATTTGGTACTCTTAGGTTATTTCTAACCTACAATAATAAACAGAATACTAAGTTAAAACAGTCTGTGACTGAACATGTTTGACACGAATGTTAGCCACATGAATAAAATTTTGCAGATCAACAGCCCAACCAACACTAATATCTCAATATCTGAAATATGCGTTGTCTACTTAATTTTACTACACCTCAGTGAAGCTTAAGACCAGGTGAACGTTACCAGTTTTCCAAAATTACCAAACTTTTTGAGCTGTGTCAAGGTCAATCCAATAACAACAACTGTAACAAATCTAGCCGCAAGAGTCCTGCATTATTTTGTAGCTATTTCATGGTTAATATATCTTAATTTTAAGCTAATCCGTTTGTTATGAGACATTTCAGTTACTTGACCCAAAGGTTATAACTTTGCCAGCCTGAAGAATGGTATGAAACTGTATAAATAGAATTCAAAGTATTGGAAAGTAGACAGTCAAAAGTAACACATAGGTCAACTCATAAATTAAATAAATATCTCTGCAGACCAACGGAGACAACGAAAGGGAATTGAGTTGAATAGCCTATTGATCATAATATTAACAACCATAGCATTCACTGATAAACCACTAAACATTTGGCAAAAAGGTAATCTAAGTTAGTAAGCATTTTTTTGTTCACTGAAACTTCACACCAGTTGCATCAGGAGCGGTGACCTCCTAAAAGGTGAGCCATGAGAACTACAATGGATCTTGTTCAAGTTGATTATTCCTTAAAGTTTCAGCTGTACCTAGAATACCGAAAAATTCACCACAAATAAACAACTGACGTATCATATCAGGATTACTTTCAATTTGTTCTGCAGGAAAGTGCTTGGAGATTGATTGTGTAGTGTCATTTGCTAGGTCAAGCTCATATGGATTATCTTAATTTCCGGACAAACCAGTTTATCCTTAATTCTTAGTTCATATTTTGGCCCTGCCAACTAGTTGCTTATTGAACTTTACCGTTTTCGTATGAGTGTATTTGTGTGTATTTCTTGCCTTATTCATTATGTACGTAGCTCTTTTTGTCTGACCATAAATATTGAACTACGGTTGATCAAAGTGTATTGGCTTACTCACGTTTTTCACTTTGCCTCGCTGTTCCGCCTCTTTTTTAAGCGTCTGTCTTGATAAACAAATGCTTGAAATGAATTCCTTTAACGCAACCTGTATCTGGCTTTTTTATTACTACCGTCACACAAAAGAGGTTAGCCTAGGTAATATACGAAGTTAAATAGAAGTGTAGTGGTAATTAAATCCTCAAAATAAATCGTTCTGCAAGTCTTTTGACATCACTGCTGACCACATTAATTTTAGTGAACACACCTAGCTAAAGGCGTCCGGTCACTTATCAACATCAGTTTACGAAAGGGTACGCGTGCTACTCATCCCTTGCAACTGTAAACCAGCTTCTCTACATATCAATAGCTTTCCGAAAATATCTTCGAACCCCCTCGCTTCTGACTTAACTGGGATGGTATGCTCAAATCATAATGATGTAACTTGTAATAGCGTTGTCAGACTCCGAATACTTGTGGTGTCCTAAGAAGATTTATGTTTCTGGCATTTTCATACGATCTAACTGGGGCCAGATACCTGGCATCAAAAAGGTAAGTTCGACTCTAAACTAAACCAAACCCGTAAAACTTAATAGACGATGAACAACCCGGACTCTATGCACCCAGTAAATGAACTAAGTAGTTGACTTAGTCAACGAACTACTCAAACAACTCAACCATCAGTAACACGCCATCCGAGAAGCCAGTTAACCAGAGACATGAACGAGCTCAAATCGTGTTATCTTGCTGATAATTTGTACTTGAGTCAACTCTGTCTAACAGGTCATTCCATTATGACTGTACTAAATATTATTCTCGTTATCACGTTAGTGTCCTATTATCACTTAACATAGATTATTATTTCTGGTCCTATGGACATTAACTTAGTATGTTTTCGCAACAATATTACTTACTCGTCGAATTATTATGTTATGAACATTATATTTACGTTACGACATTTGCAGCTCACTGGATTTTTTTATTATTCCAGTTTTAGGTGAGTTGGTTTCGTTTTTCTTTGTTGTTTAGTCTTATTTTGTTATTCTGAGGTCGTTTTTGTGTTATCATATCACATATACATTTTTCATTTCGATATCGTCTTCCATTATGTCTGTGAATGCATTTAATTCTAACCACCCTTTTGTAAGATCGTTCTCCGTTATGTTCTGAATCATCCATCAAAGCAAAAGCTCTATGAGACTAATTATTCATTATCATCCATTTTCTTGGCTGTACGGTTATCACATTTTATATACTTCGGTCTTATTTACCGGCTGCTCGTACATCAAACAACATGCTGTGTAAATTTGCTGCCTGGTAACATGATCATGCACACAAATCATCAGTCTGAAGAGTCAAGAGAACCTCCTGTACGCTGATAACGACATGATTGCATCTACCCAAGCTCTGCCAGAGGTTTGCAAAGCTCTTATATATATACGTTTGGAGTAATATCCACAGTAGTAAGAACCTATGCTCTTGATACGCAATCAGTGTCCACTCACGGCATTTGTATTAAGCAGTCGTCGTTTTCTACTTTCTGGACGACAATCTAAACCTACTTACTTACTTACGCCTGTTACTCATCGTGAAGGGGCATAGGCCGCTCACCAGCATTCTCCACCCAACCCTGTCCTGGACAATTCTTTCCAGTTCTTTCCAGTCGTTATTAATCCTTTTCATATCTGCTTACATTTCTCTACTAAGTGTGTTCTTCGAGCTTCTATTTTCTCGCTTTTCCTCAGGATTCCAAGTTAGGGCGTGCCTCGTGATGCAAATTGATGATTTGCTTAATGTATATCCTATCCATTTCCATCGTCTTTTCCCAATTTCCTTCTCAGCTGGAAGCTGGTTTGTTCTCTCCCACAAAAGGCTGTTGCTGATAGTATCCGGTCAATGGATGTTGAGTATCTTGCGTAGACAGCTATTTATAAATACTTGCACCTTCTTGATGATGGTTGTTGTAGTTCTCCAAGGTTCAGCTCCGTACAGTAGAACTGACTTGATGTTCATATTAAAGATTCTCACTTTGATATTGGTTGAAAGTTGTTTTGAGTTCCATGTGTTCTTCAATTGTGAGGATGCAGCCCTTGCTTTGCCAGTCCTTGCCTTTACGTCTGCATCTGAGCCTCATTGTTCATCGATTATGTGAAGGATTCTACATCTTCCAAGATTTCGCCATCAAGAGTGATTGGATTGCTGTTCTCCGCCTTGAATTCGAGGACCTTGGTTTTCCTTTTGTGTATGCTGAGGCCTACTGATGCAGAGACTGCTGCTACACTGACTGTCTTCATCTGCATCTGTTCGTGTGTACGTGATAGGAGGGCTAGGTCATCTGCGAAGTCCAAATCGTCTAATTGATTTTGAGCTGTCCATTGTATTCCGCGTTTTTTTCCGTGTTTTTTGCTCTGGTTGTTAGAAGGGGCATCGGCCTCGTGGCTTCCGAAGGAACTCGGCTTTCACCATGAAGCGTTATAATTCTTCTAAAAGAAGACTTTCTAACTCCCAGGGCAGAGTTAAAATGGTTTGAATTATTTTTTCCGGCAAGCGTTTTTTTAGCGAGTTAGTTTTCTACGGGATGGGGACGCTAACCCCATGCCCAACCCTCTTCCTTGACCCGGGTTTGGGACCGGCAGTAACTCTAGAAGAGCTACAGGCGTAGTTAATCTAAACCTAAGTTCCAATTAAAAACCATCGATCATTTTTTAATCGATTATCCTTCTTTATTGTATATGCATGAATCAAGCACTCGACGCTGCATTGCCAGCAGATCGATGACGAATATGTTCATCTTATATGTTTGTCCACATATATAACTGCATGCTGCATCGTTCAATACCGATTGACATTACTTAGCTAATGCGACTAATATTCTTTTCTCACCTCATTGTAAATTAGAACAAAGTTTAAAGTAAGTCTGTCAAAGATACATTATTTTTCATCACATTCAAATCGATTTCACTGGTCAATCATTAAAAATCACATTTAATAATATTTTCAACACCCCTCAGTACGGTTTCTCAACAAATAAGGTCTGATGCAACTCTCTCCAACGATACAAACCACTTTCAGAATCACTACCAAAAATGAATACGACTCCAAGTATCTCGTCTCCACAGCTACTACTCTGCTCTTTTCGTCACTCTAGTAATGGTGATTCAACAACAAATCAATGCATCTAGTTATAATACTAATGACAACGGATATTGATTTTGCATCTTATGATCATTATCAACAGCAGAAGAACAGTCAATATCACCCATCAACTCAGTTATTGTTTTCCAGCTTGGTAATTCTTATCCTACAAACGGAAACTCCATGTCACGTTGTTGGGTCGGCTTCCGGAGAACTTCAACGGAGCTTCCAGAGGCCCACAAGGAGCCGAGTAGTCCTAGCCAATCAGAGTGTGATGGAACATTCGTGAATTCCAACGTGGCGTGCTACTGTAGAATTATGGTCTACTATGATATTAGTACTGCTCTAATAATAGACCTAATCCTAAAATTGTAGATCTGTCATGATATAACTGCCTAATCTATAAGATCTTACGTGGAAGTCACGTCATCGTCTACAGCAACTCACTGTATCGTAACAACTACCAATACATGATGAAAAACGAGCTTAGGCTAGAGAAGAACAATATATTTAGTATGAATAGAAGATATAAGGTAATATTCAGCAGGAACCATGCCTGCACGGCCGAGCCATGCCATTCGATCAACTCCATTCTTAGGTATTTCTCCGCGATAAATATTGAATATCTATTTTCGGAGTAATCTCGTATTCAGCTTTGAGGATTGTGTGGTTATGGTCCAATGCCACTACACTACTCTCCCACCAGAATCAACGTGGTGTTGGTTCGATACCAAATTGGATGGGACCATAGTGTGCCGAAGGTTACCAAGACTAGTAAGAATCGTCCGGGTGATGACAAGCTGAAAGATAAATCAAAAAGAAGACGGCAGCATCTGGTCGGGAAATACATGTAATAATTTTAAAATATCTGCCTTCATGCTTACAATAAAAATTTGAGTGATTATTTGAGCTATAAAAAATGGGATTACAATAATAATAATAATAAAACGATGCGTGTTAATAGCCGTTGGTTAATAACTTAACGTATAGGTAGTAATTATTTTGTGTTTAGAAGTATTACAGTAATGAATGTCGTAGAAATATTAATAGCGGTAGC